TGAAACAGCTAGTGCAGTTAGAAATCACCTCCATATGCATATTATTTGTGATGTGACAAGCTGCATTTTGACAAGAAAAAGATCTGGGGCCGTATTAACCAAGTTTTATCTATTAACCCCTATTAAGGACTAGAAGTTTCTAGCAAAGCGTTTCCTCTTAGAAACTGTTCATAAGAGCAACTTTTACTGGACCAACTGGATCAAAATTGCCACGCAGCGCTTACTTCCTGTTGCCAGTAGATGGCGCTCTCACTATATCTGAATATTGTCATGTAGATGTGTTCAGGGCGGGACTCTTATCAAATGTATGAAGTTTCATTGAGATTGGACCATGTACACTGAAGTTGTGAGGGGGACTGTTACAGAATATGTGAAGCTGAACCATATTGAGTTATCACCTATCTGTTTTATGGCCAATCAGGCGGGAATTGACGACGGTCTGCTCACAGGCGAACGGAGCGTTAAATGTACAGCTACAATGAGCTATCAATCTTTGCCCACTACACCAATGGTGTTATAGATTGCGAATTTAAGTGATGGGAATTTGAACATCAATCTGAAAGTAAAATTAGATCTCGCTAGGAGGAGCTTAGGTGCCTTAAAACCAGAAAGCCCACTTAATGCCAATAGAATGGCGATCACAGTTTGAACATTCGAATTCAACCTGGCCAACTTTGAAACAGTGCGACGACATCAACCCACGGCCCATTCAACGGTAGGCGCGTGCAAAATAGGCACAAACTTCAATTAATCGAGCAAAAGTACTGTAAGAGACTGAGGAAGAGCCAATTTTGAAGCAGATCCGTGAATAATGCTCCCTAGTGAGGAGGAGTCCTACATATATACAGACACGAAAACATGCACAAGAAAAAGACAAAAAAAAAATCAAAATGGCTAACTTGGATGCCAAACACACGGACACGCACCGGTTGTATAATGTACACCTACCACAAATTTACACAACTTTTAATCAGCAACATTAAAATTGACTGGTACTGTTCCTTCAACTGACTCCGACTTTTGAAGTATATTTTCCAGAGATAAAATCCTCTTAGCTGAGGAGTATAGTTCAAATACAAGGCGAAAAATTCACCGAAAATGAGCACGGAATTCAAAATGGCCAACTTTGACGGCACGCCAGTGAAAAGGGCTTGCTCTCCAGGA